CAATTGTTCTAGACTCTTATAGTTCAAATGACCTAATCTTTTATGCCAGAGCTCACTCACATCGATTTTAGCACTCCTACACATATAGTTAGAATTAGGTAATATCCCATAACAATTGTCAGATGTCCTAACCCCTTCAAGGACTACCCCACCGGATGAATCATATACGGTACATCTCTTCTGCACAAAACTAACCTCAAAGTCATCATCACAGATCTAACTAATGCTTAACAAATTTGACTTTAAACCGTCCACATACAACACATTAGAGATCACAGGCAAACCATGCATTTGTACGGTACCTTTGCCAAGAATAGGTGCAGAGCCCCCATCTCCAAAGGTAACCATACCACCATTACATTCATCAACAGTAGTAAACAGAGATTTATTACCACACATATGTCTAGAGCATGCACTATCCAGGTACCACATATTAGAATTTTGAGCCTTTAAAGCAACATGAGCAACAAAACAGTTTTCTAGACCTGAAGGTCTACCTCGATCACTCTTTTTGACCCAAACCTTTTTAGATGACAACGTACTCTTAGTTAGCCTAGTAAGCATCTCAGTCAAGTGACTCACCTGATTAGACAGAAAGCTAACTTGACTAGGAATGTTTTGACTTATACGCTCATTGCCTAACTTGTAACATCTAGGCCTAGTGTGTCCTAGAGCACCACAGTGGTGGTAGGTGGGAATGAACCTAGGCTCAAAGGTACGTGTCTGTGGGTACCTAGTCCTGATGTTCCTATGTGATTGCTGACTCTGTTCCCTAGGAACACTCTTACCCTTACTTGGACTCCTAATAGCATTAGACTTAGAGGCAGCCACGAAGACAGTCTTAGATGGTCCAGCGATAGTTGTATTACCCTCAACATATCCTAGACCTCTCTTGTCTCCTACTGGCTTATTCATTCCCAATAGGTTATGTAATTTCTTAGTTCCACTTATGAATGTCTGAAGATGAGCATTAGATTTCTCCAATTCACTAGTTAAACTCTTAACCTTGTCTTCCAATTTCTCATTGACACATTTTAACTCACTACCACTCTTAAGTGACTCCTGAAGCTTACTACCCAGTTTCTCTTTTTCCCTTTCAAGTTCGTCAACCTTTTTAAGCAGGGCTTTATTGACCTTCTTTATTTTAAGACTCTCCTTAAACAACTGTTGATACGCTTCTTGTAAGTCTATGCCATCCTCATCCTCATCCTCATTACCTAAATTATCGTTTGAATGTTCTTCCTCAACCTTGTCACTTTCCTTATTAGATTCACTCTTCACAGTAGCCACAAATGCCATATAATTTCCTTCATCGTCACTACTAGAGGATTCCTGCCTATCACTGGTCTCAAATTCATTATCAGTAAGAGAGACAACTAAGGCCTTACCTTTCCCTTTTCTTTGATTTTTCTTATAGCTAGGACATTCATTCCTATAGTGACCTATTCCTTGACACTCATGACATCTAACCAAACGTGGCTTCTCACTTGACCCTTTATTGTTAACTTTCTCAATTTTATCTTTTGTGAATCTGCTAGGGGCTCCACTCTTTCTATCCTGAGGCTTTCTCCTATTATTGAGGACATTTTGAAATTTCTTAACAAAGTATGCAATTTCCTCATCCCTAAGTGACTCCGTATCAAACGATTCATCTTCTTTAATGGATTTTAGGGCTATGGACTTTCCTTTCTTATTTTGTGAGAGAGTGAGTTCATAGGTTTGCAATGATCCTACCAATTCTTCGATCTTAACTTCATCTAGGTC